GTCACTGGGAGATCAGTGATGAGTCTCAGTCCTCGGAGTCCCAGGGACCTGAGCCCCTTTAAAGAACGAGGGTCCCAATGAACAAGGTTCTCCCCGGCGTCTCTAACCCAGAAGATGCTTGGACCTGTTCTGGGTCATCTCTGCTTAAGAGACCCAAGCCAAGATTTTAAAAATCAAAAAACCTATTGCCCTATGACTCCAACTCTTGGTGAGCCCATGTGTGTCAGAGTAGAGTTCTACTCCATTGGGCTGGATTTTTTTTATTTTTTATTCTTCAGCCAAGATAGCAGAAGAGATGATTTATTGTGCACATTACATCGAGCCACAACTGAGGACAGAATGAGTCCAGAATGTCTGAGGTCCGGGGCAGAGGAGCAAAGTCGGGCTGGTTGGGTGTTGAGCAAGGGGCCGGTCTCTCGGCGATCGAATGGCGACGGAAGTTCCAGATGCGGAGACGGTGGGCAGCACGCAGTCAACAGCTGGTAGCAGCGTCCCGGGCTCAGGCACTCCATAGTCCTGCAGCTGTGCCTTCGGAGGGGGCGCCCGGTGGCTTCACTTGGACCTCTGCCTCATCTTTCTTCTCTGCACGTCAGTCTGCGCATTCTCTTCTTCCTCCACTTGGCTCTCATGGCTCGGAGGTTTCTAACAAGATGGCGCGAAAGCCCAGAGAGGGCTGGATTTTTTTCAGAAGTAGACTGCCAGGCCTTTCTTCTGAAGGGCCTCTGAGTAGACTCCTATGTTTTAGGTAGCAACAGGTTAGCTAGCTCACCCCAAACACTGCATTCTGGAAAGAGGCAACTCCATCCAGGACTGTCCTTTCAGCTTAAACACCTACTTAATGAGGGGGCTTCAGAAAGTACACGGGAAAATTCCATTATCTTTTCGCCCCCCCACCCCCACCCTCTTGAAGTCCCTTCATATGCTTAGGGGGCAGTACAGAATGAGTGCTACGGAATGACATAGAGGCGGCCTCGTTGGCCCCGAGCCATATATTAGGGGAGATGATTGTTTGACGGTTGTGGTCTAAAAAGTCAGCCCAGCTCACTGCGAGCGAGTCGATGCTGACTCACAGCG